CAGCAGAAGCAGCAAGTCTTTCTTTCTCTCCCCCAAATTCCGCCAGAAATGAGTCTTTGTGAGACTTGTCGCACCGGTGCAGCCTCTTGGAGCAAGATGCCTTGCAGGGTCCCAAAGACTCACTTCTGGCGGAGTTTGGGGGAGAGAAAGAAAGACTTTTGCTGCTTTTCTTGCATGCAGCCAAAAACAGAAGCAGAAAGAAGCAGCCCGGTGGCCAAGCAAGGCGCATGGGGCAAGTTCCCCCCCTCCACCTTTTCCCCCCCTCCCCTACCTCGTGTTGTTCGCAATGCAAGCAACGCAAGCCTTGTGTTCCAGCAGGCCATGTGGGCGGCGCAGCCTGGATTAATCACTTTGGGGGGTGCTTTGGGGGTGACATTTCTCTGCGGACCACCAAAATTTTCTCACAGACCACCAGTGGTCCCTGGCCCACTGGTTGGCGACCACTGCGCTAGAGGATGTAATAAAGGTAGGGCTCTCAGACTTTTCCCAGCAAACTCCAATGGGGAAGGGAGGGATAATTAATTCTGTATTTGAAACCAGTTTACCCACTGGCCAAAACAGAATTTTCCACCCTGGATCAGAACATCTGCATGTACTTGTATGAGCGAAGGACTTGCCCTTGTAGTCCAGAGGCTAATGACTTGGAACACCAGATGGGTCTGGTACTTCACAACTGTAGTCATTTAATTACACTACATATATGGAGATGCTTTGTGCTTTAATGCTTTATGAATTACCTTGGAAGGGCATTTTAAAAATGATGTGTAAATAATGAAACGAGTGATCTCAAATTGTACACATAGACAATAGCCTTCAATTGCAAAATCAATGAGGACACTTAGAAGGCTAGATCACTTACAGTAATGGAATTTAAACTGGATGTTCGTCTATTTTGCTTATCGTACGAACACTAGTACAGTGCAAGACTGGAGGCCCTTAATCAACTTTTTAATTTCTTCAATACAAGACCATGCAAATAGAAACTATCCATCTAACTCCTGATAAACACAACAGGGCAATATTACAAATTGAGTTCTGGAAGAGCGAAGGCTTTTATGATTACTCTAAATTTTGGTAAATCAGTGGTCAAGACTAAGTTCTTAATAGTATTTTAATTTAAGAAATTATCCCCTAATCTGGACAGTTACTTATTCTATAGTTTGTGAGGTATAGTACTTCTTACAAGAATTCTGTAATTGTTTACTACAGAATGTAACTAATCTTGCTTGCTATAAGAAGTCAAATGACATGTAAAATGATATGTAAAGGTCAAATGACATGTAAAAGCCCCAATAAAATATTACTATATTTATAAATGCTATCCATGACTTATTGAATTAGTTTTTTGAATCTAAATGCTTGGGTTTAGGTAATATATTGAATCATAAACCAGCCCATCATATTTTAATTTGCTATGTGAATCTATTCAATGTTATTAATATAACTGACCCCTGCTGTGTAATACAGAATGAGGCGGCAAAGGTAGCTTTTACAAACTATCACAAATTAGGAAAAAATTAAATGTCTTGGGCATATAAATATTCTACAGAAATAAGTGGAATGTAATAGAGAAGGCAAGTGACTTAAAAATCAGCTTCATTCAAATCTGTAAACATTTGAGAATATGGTTTTTATTAAAGACAGAAAATAATAAACAATGCATGGTAGATTCTAAGGTGGGAAAGGATTATTATTCAAAGTTATTCTGCAGTGGCATACACTGTGTAGATCCTATTTATTATAATTACTGGTAGCACTTATATTTCATCTTTTCTCCAGGAACTTGAAGTAACAGTAGTGGCAAATCAGTCCCAGGATTCTGACTTCCAGCTTGCTAATAGAACTGTTTTGAGTTCAAATGACTTTTTGATATCGCACCATGTTAATTTACACATTCTATGTTCCATCCAAATGCATCAGCCTAACAATCAACTTTTCAGAAATCAGATTTAACAATTTCAAACTTCCCATAAAAATGTTTTCTTGAAAGTTTTTATCATTTATCTCACCTTTTTTTCTGTTAAAACTTGCAAATTTATTATAGCAGGATAGTCTCAAATGGACCATTGGGACAATGTCCCAAATGTAAATTGAATTCTCTTTTTTTTTTTACCACATGAGCATATAATTTTAATAATTCTCATCTGTACAGCTTGCTTTTCAGATTTTTTCGCCACTGAAAATGTAAATGCATTCATAAACTTCATTTCTCTGTTCTTTTATCTAAGTTCTGCTAACAAAAATATTTTAGTTACACAAATAACAAAACAATATACTGTGCTATATTCACAATGGATTCTGGAGCATATTAGAAAATTGTACTGAATTTCACGATATCTGTCTGGAAACTGAATATTAAATGAGCATGGGCCATGTAGCACAATCTTCCTAAACTCACAATTTACAATAGATAGCTTAAACCAAAAAAAAAAAAAAAAAAAAACTATTTTTGAATGGCTGAGGTACTACTTGATTTTAACTCAACCAAAATATGGCATGACTTGAACCAAACAATTCATGCAATACAGTATAAAACTATCAGTCAGTGAAGAAGCATGATTGTAACTGAGTAGAACATGTAATTTAACTTACTGATGCTTCACGTACATCTGCCAATAAAGACTGAATATTAATTGTGTTTAACAAAGACGCAACACAGTATACTGTTTCATATGTTGTTTAACCAGAATCTCTTTATCTACTGATAGGACTTAAATGAAGTCCAGGTTACATTACAAATCACAGAAATTCTGTATATAATCCAGTATGTCAACACTAGGTTGTTTTCCTATATCAAGTAATGGGATATATTTTCTTACTTGAGTATCTTCATGGTAAGTTAGCCACTGTTCTGTCTACTAATTGGATGGCCTTTAGAATTTATCCCAAATAATCCATCAGTAAATACAGGATCCTGTTATGTAAAGACATGAAAACATCCTTTCATCTTCAAATTGTTTCAGTTGCCTGAAACAAAAAACAAAGACTAGTTAGCATTATAGTATCTGATACATATGGAACAATTTCCTAGGTCAGTGGTGGCTAATCTTTTTGGGCTCCTGTGCCAAAAACTGTGTGCATGCTGGTGCCTGCGCGCCAGCACCCAGAAGGCAATACGCATGCCCTCGCCCCCTGCATATGCACGCGCAATTCCCCCTCCCCCCGCCACCCCATTACCTGCACTGCACCTCCCAGCTAATTTTCAACTTGTTTGAGGCCTTTTTTGGCCTCCCAGAGGCTTGAGGGAAGCCTCTGCAGCCTTTGCAGTCCGAAAAATGGGGCCATTTAGTCACATCCTGTATTTCCGGAAATACAGGAAGTGACGATACAGGCCTATCAGCTGTGAGGCGCACACATGCACAGTGAGGTAAGTTTGCCTGGGGCTCGCGTGCCCACACAAATGGCTCTGTAAGTTAAATTACATGTGCCATAGGTTCGCCATCAGTCCTAGGTTATATATAATAATGCACATTACGATGTAGCTATAATAATAATGTGCTTTCAAGTCAGCATTGGCTCCTGGTGACTAGAAAATGAAGCTAAACTGCTGAGGCTTTGGAGTTCAAGCAGAGAACATCTGCCACACAACCAAAAAAATCTCTGGATAGCGGATATTGCAATACAGCCCAAAAGAAAGACTGGAGAAAATAAGTATATAGAAGTAAAATAAACCTGGCAAAAGAAGAGAATACCAAGAGTAATAGGAGCCTTGAATGCAATCTCAAAACCATTTGAACAACCACTGCATTGACAAAATCACCACTGGGTCAATTGGAAAAGGCAGTTTTAGTTGGAATATTTTACATCCTGCAATGTTTAATATTAAAAATACATCTGGCTTCTTGGGAAAGACTCGATATGTGGACAAAAAACAACAACGGCAAATCCAGTCTAAACATCTGGCCACCTATGCAATCAATTGCAAAAGGCAGCTTTGCTTGGAATAGTTTACATCCTGCAATGTTTAATATTAAACAATATCTGGATTCTTTGGAAAGACTCGATATTTGGACAAAAAAAATCAAATCCAAACTAAACATCTGGCCAGCTATGCAATGAACCATATTACCAGGGTCATCGCTAGGGATTATAAAAGCAGAGCTCCAAAAGCCTGGACACCTCTATACAGGCAGTCCTCGACTTACAATAGTTCGCTTAGCGACCATTTAAAGTTACAATGGCACTGAAAAAAGTGACTTGGGACCATTTTCATACTTGTGATCCTTGCAGCATCGCCATGGTCATGTGATTTACATTCAAGATGCTTGACAACTAATTCACGTTTATGACGGTTTTAAGATCCTGGGGTGATGTGATCTCCTTTTGCGACCTTCTGACAAAGGCAATGGGAGCCAGCCAGATTCACTTAACAACCATGTTCCTAATAATTTAACCACTGCAGCAATTCACTTAAACAACTATGGCAAGAAAAAATGTAAAATGGGGCAAAACTTTACAGACTTCTCACTCAGCAACATAAATTTGGGGCTCCATTGTGGTCGTTAAGCCGAGGACTAACGGTTTGCACCCTTTCTTAGCTCCAATCTCTGCCTTTTTCAAGGTGCATTAAGCTGGTAGTTTAGGCTGCCATCTGGAAGCCTCAGATCGCAACCCAAAACAATGGACAGAGATCACAGAGGGTTAAAAAGCTCCTTGCAATTTTAAGGACTTTGTCAGGGTTTATTTCTTTGCAGTCTGGAAATTTTTTTTTTTAAAAAAGTCAAAGGCAAGGCTAATTTGCACCTGGTGGACGTGCGTCCAGGAGTTTGAAAGGGCGTAGCAAGATTTAAATCCTGCATGTCACCCTTTCATTCCCCCACTGGAGCCCACCCACCCCGCAAACGGGACGGGGAAGGGTGTGTGTGTGTGTGTCACACTCCTTTGCACTCCTGCCTGAAGACGAAGCGCCTCACACCACTTCAGACCCCAGGCGCCTCTCGCGGGCCCCACAACGCGCAGGCGCGCCGGCGGCTCCCCTCCACCTTTCGAGCGGGAAAGGGGGAGAAAAAAAACAAAAACGTCTCGGCAGAACATGGCGGCTCCCTCTTTCGCCTTGGCTCTCCCCCTTCTCCCGGGCTCCGCGCCTGCGCAGTCGGACTCTCAGGTAGCCGTATCCCTCCGCCGAGCCTCCTTCCTTCTCCCCCCCCCCAACCATTCCCCCCCCTTTTTGTTAGCGCCCGTTGGGGTGGGGGGGCGACCCGATAATCCCCCGTGCCCCCATGAGGGGAGCAGCGCCCCGAGAGGACCGCGGCGGAGCAGGAGCAGAAGCCGCCGCCGCCGCCGCTGCTTCAGTGCCTGGGCGCCGCTGCTGCTGCTCCTCCTCCCCCCGCCGCCGCTCTTCCCCTGCAGGCCTCTCCTCCTCCTTCCTTCCTCGCCTCAGCGCTCGCAAGCAGCGCGGCCGCCCGTGTCCCTCCGCCGCGCGCCGAGCGGGGGACTTTTTCGCGGGGCTTTTCGGGCGCCCTATGAGAAGCGGCGGCGGGCTCCGGGCGGCCTTGCTCGTCGTTCGGTCGGTCGGCGGCCGGGCGCGGGCGACACGGTAAGGGGGAGGGCCCCTTCCTCCTTCTCCTTCTTCCTTTTCCTCTCCCACCCCACCCCTCCCTCCCCCTCACCTCCCATGGCCGGGCCGGCCAAGCTTTTCCAGGTCAGTCTGCGCCTTTTTTGTATAGAGGGGGCCCTTGTTACCGGATGTGGAAGTTGATCTCTTCTTCGCTGGTAAAAAATAATTCCACTTCCCCCGGAACCCGGCGCTTACCGCGGCTCCCTCCGCTCCTTCCCAGCCAGGATTTCCTGTCGGGGGGAAAAAGCGGGGACGGGAGAGGCCTTCCGGGGATCTGGCGCTCGGGGGCCGCCGCTTGGCGAA